CTCTTATATCGATCTGATACTGTGATCAACTCCGTTCCTCAAAGGGATCCAGCGTCAAGTGTGAGTCAAATTATACTCCTACGAAAAACCCCTCTCCTCCCTCAATAGTTTCAAATGATGAAGTCTGATCGTCAAGAATTTTTATTGGAATCCAAAATTCAATAACTCACATTCAGTTCATCCCATAATTGCACTAACTGCGTTGGTATTGCTAAAAACATCCAATACGCCAGGTAAACGAAGCAAACGATTCGCACAATGTCGGCAGGTAATACACCAAAACGTCTCCTTGCTTGAACATTTATAATGACTGTGGTCAGCATGGTACCGATTGAGATGATTATTATTACTGACAAGTAGAACCATGCTGCAATAATCGCTCTTCATTTAGTTCCATTTCATTAGAATACAATAAGCAATTGAACTTTCAACATGTATATAAGTGTGAAAGTATGAAATTGCTTGTATCGACTGCAACTTAAATTTTAGCAACAAAAAAATTCGACATTGCAATCTCTATGATATTGTTCATTCAAGCTGTCAATGAATCAAAATTTATACGGAGATATCGTTTTGTTGATATTCTTCACATTAACTGATCTTCATTGGTTCAAGCAACCGAAACACTGGAAACTTAAAGGTATAGAGAAGTTAGAGACTACGATTCCAAAGAAGTGTTCAGTCAGCAACAGAGCCGACCGAGGCTTACCGATAAGTGGAACGAAATCAGATGTTGTAGGCATCTGATCGGATACCATAAGCATCAAAATGGACATCGCCAGCAATGTGGTTATACCCAGATTGATCTTTTCAGTGCGATCATCGCTTGTCGTTGCGGGCGTAAAGAAACCGGTTATCGAAACTGAAATACTTGAATGCACTCATTAATCTGACCTTCCAACTTGACTCCATGAGGGTTTCATTGGAGTCACATGAATACTTTTACAACTGAATATGTAGATGAGAAAAATGAGAGTTTGAGGTGTTTTGGCACATCACAGTATAATATTCAGATTTACTGGAAAAAGCACTTGAGGTATTCTCGTTGCTGAAAGAATTCAATCGATTCTGTTCAATCATCTTACCGATAGTAATGATGGAAGTAGGAATGATCAGATTAATAACATAATACAACGCTTTTCGTCGAATTGTAAGCGTGGCCTCAATCATGACCCATGGCTCGGCGCAACACGCAAACACTCGCTGCAATTTTGAAAAAACTTAATCATTATAAAACATTTCATCTCAAATTTTCAGCTGACCAAAATTTACTTCTTTCTGAAAGCTCAGAAATGTAATTGAACTAAGCATTCCGGAGAAGTACGGCTAAAAGAGCAATTCAAAACAAGCCAATGATGCAACATGTTCTCCAGGATGATCATTAGGCGTTTAGCAGAAGA